CACACCACCCCACCTCCCCCAGCCTGTCCCCATGGCAGAGGGGCTCCAGCCCTCGGAGCATCTCCGTGGCCTCCTCTGGACTCACTCCAACCCGAGCTCCTCCAGCCACGCCAGCAATGCTGCAGCACCTTCACAGCCCCGCGCAGCCACGTGTTGCATGGCAGGAACGATGTGTGGGGGACGGCAGGAGCTTGGGGCACCCACAGAAATGACATTTTCTGTACAGCTTTCATCCTTATCAGGGCCAGTGCAGCGCTGGGTGCACAGGTCACAGCCCAGCTGCCACGTCTGCTCTTGCACAATTGCAGCTTGGTATCGCGTGGAGTTTAAAAGGCCGTCAATAAACCTCGTGCCGTGCCACGAGCCTTTTCATGTGCTCCACATGCATGCAGAGACGAAGGCAGCCAGAGCCTGCCATGAAAGCCAGAGCCACACCGATAAACCCCTGCAGACCCAGATACCCTTTGAGATAAGCAGCTAAAATTAATTTCCGCTGAAGCTGCTTGTGACAGCCCATCATCTCTCCCCAGCCCAAATCCACAGAATAATCCCCTCCAGTAAGAAGCACCTTTAACAGCAAGAGGCTCCGAGCAGCATTTCCAGAGCTGGGATGGGGAAAGGTGAAACCCAGTGGAGGAAACTGGTTTTTGCCTGTGCGTTTCCCAGCAGAGCCCCGGCAGCTCCGCTCCTGTTTATGGCAAGGACGTGTGTCCCCAAGCCCAAAGCTGACAGGGACCAGAAGGTGCCACCACTGTGTCCAGAGCATCGCTGTCCCTCCGGGTTGCAGCAGACACAAAACAGGGCACATGGGGAGGGACAGAAACCAATCCTGAAGCACCACAACCCCACGGGGCTGCCACCGCTGCGGCTATCAGCATCACCCATCCCGCAGCGAGGGTCCGCACCAGCAACACGGTGTGCAGGACGGGGGTCAGTGGGAAGGCTAGGTCCATGCCCAGTTCACAGTTCAGAGGGTAACATTGCCCCCAAACAGGGGTCAAAGGGGCCTCCTGGGCTCCCGCTGCCCCAGCCCAGGCCATGGTGGGCTCAGGTGGCCACAGGGGTGGCCAGTGACTCCTTGGTAGGGCTGGGGGGCGAATTGGCACTGCTGTTTGTCACGTTCTCGTATTTTGGCTCTTCCTCTGGGGCAGCCTGTCCCTTTGCGTCAAGGCTGAGGACTAACTCAGGGCTTTTGCCCTGCTCTATGGCACCCACAGCATCGCCGGCCCCATCCTGGGCCTCGCTGCTTTTTGGCGAGGGAGATGTGAGAAGGAGGGACTGTCTTTTCCCAGGGAGATGCTGGTGTTTGCCAGGGGATGCCTCGGCAGGAGCCCCTGGGATGCTCTCCCTCTGCCTGCAGCTATTCTCCGAGTCTCTGCGCTGTGCCAGGGCTCGACGAGGCGGTTTCTGGATGGCCTCCACGCTCCTCCTCACCTTGGGCTCCTCCTTTGCAGCCCACTTGCCCCTCTGCAAACTGCCCAGACGCTTGAGCACAGCCTGGACCGGTCCCTCGCCACCCCCCTCCGCTTTGGGGTCCTGCCCGGCCGTTCCCACCATCATGTAGATGGTGGTGACGTTGGGCTCCTTCCCCTTCGCTTCCCAGCTGCCGGATTTTGCAGCCGCTTCTAGAGCCTCCACTCTCTGGGCCACATGCCTGGTGCCAGAAACCACCCGCCGGCGTCCCCCCGGGGTGGCCCGGGG